GGGGGGGGGCTATTTGCAAGAATAGTGCGGAGCAGTATTGGGCACTGAAAGTAGAGGAGTCCATATCTTATTACAGTTCGTAATATCTTTGCAGTTTATTTCGTAACGTGGGCAGCAGACTCAATATTGGGATGTTTGCATAATACCTCCATCGCATAGTCCGGAGTTTCTGTGTCGGTGGAGCATTAAATTTATGATGTAAAAGCCATGGATTCGAATTTTAATCAGTTCACTTGGGTTTCGCCTTTTCGAGAGACGTAAATGAGTGTTATGTTGCGAATAGGGAGACATGAGGCTACATGCGGTAATTGCCACGTAACTTTAGGCACCGCCTTTCAAATAATACACTCCTTATTGACTGCAGGAAAAAATGAAACAAAGATTAGCGCCACACAATGCCACTATGAAGCAAGTATGTAACAGAAGGGGTCCATCGCGCAAGTGTAAGGGATACCGATATCCGAACGATTGTAAACTTTCCACTTTTCCCTCACAAAGTGAGAAAGATTCAATGGCGTAAAGCAACAACGTATATTCGTTCATTTATTTTCAGTGTGCTGTTCACTTTGGATTGTGGGGACAGCCCATTGGAGAGGTTTATCCAGTAGTCCCCGACCTCCGCAGTTTCAAATTACGTCTGTATGTTTTGAATTCCAAGTTTTGACCATGCTAGATGCTAAAAGTACAAGAGCTCTGTGCTTCTTAGTTTGTTACTTGTCAGTCTTCCACGCGGCCGTTTGACAGGTGCGTTCGTTTTGCCATTCAGGCTCGTATGCAGCATCCTGATCGCGTGTCCACACCGTCGATCTGGAAAGGGAACGACTCATTAGTAAAGGTATCTCAGATCATCCTGTTCTGAACCTGGTCGAGTTGCTCACGCCAGCTGTCCCTTTCTTCCACTTGTATGTTTAATCGTATTATGTGAGTCAGTATCCAGCATTTATGACCCTAATTGGACAGCCGGAAAACACGTAGCTCCACATTGTTCCTTTGCTCCTTCTGTCGACGTCACATTTTTTAGATCTTGTGTTACTACGCTACTGTTGATTCCTATGTGCTACTGATGAATAGTTCCACAAGTTATTTGAACTGCTCTTCTTGCTCTAATTGAATTCCACTTTCTTGCAGAGCATGCCGAATTGGACTTTCTCAGGAATACTAATTCTTCAGTTTTTGACCACCTCATTACACACGTAAACGAACCCGTCAGGTGCGTTTGCACTTTTGCCATATTTCCTCTGCGCCATGGGTTGCAGGATGTGCTAAACACGTAGTGGTGCCTTAAGTGAAGGGTTATGGATATTGACATGCTTGACTGCTTCCAAGATGCAAGTGCTTTTTAGGAATTGAAGATCTGCCTTTAAAATTTCTTTCCATGTTGGCTTTTTGAGCAGCGGCTTCATTGGCTAGATTTTCAGGGTATAATCCGACCAGCCAGGGTTAATACATGCTTGCTTATGGTTTTGTAGTGACTACAAAATTGATTATTACTTTGCACAGCAGTGACCTGGTTGTTGGCATTACGTTGCAGATAGCGTCTGACCGTTCATTTTCAGTGAACCAACGAATCCATAGAGTGCTCTCGAGAGAACCTCGCTGGAATTTTGGGAATTTGGGCGTTAGCGGGTTTTCACTAAAGTCGTTTCATTCCCTCTGGACCGTGCTGAAGGACTGACATTGCTGAGGAATCGAAGATGCTGACTTTCTTTATCGAATTAATACTCCGTTGACCCCTGATTTTTTTCGACTTGCAGTTGCAGACTGGATTGAGGCAGATTGCGTATCGCTTGCTAATTTTGTATCATTATATGGCTACTTAGCGTTGCTAAACACAGTATGATATAAACGATTCTCAGTGTTACTCATCATTGGGTTGTTGATAGAGTGCAAACTCGAACCTTATTTCCTGTGTCCTTCGCTCCTAAGTATTTACAGCACTGATTCGATGTTATGAGATGTTACAGTACAAATCGAATGAACTGTTTTGTAATGGCGTTGAAACTTTTACATAGCACATCATTTTTCAGAAACAAAGATGGGAGTACCGCAGTTTTACCGATGGCTTTCAGAGAGGTACCCTTGCCTGTGTGAAACTATTTCTTCGGAACAAGTATGCACATGTATTGTTGCACTGAAGAGCATGACGTTACAGCCGTTTGCTGCTTTCAGGTGCCGGAGTTCGATAACTTGTACTTGGACATGAACGGCATCATCCACCCCTGCTCGCATCCGGACGACGACGTTGTGTGCAGCGAAAGGCCAGAGTCGGAAGTGTTCGATGATATCGCCAAGTACATCCAAGTACGCGGCAGACGAAGTCGCTTTAAGCATCTTTTTTATTCGCTTCCCATATTTGTTGTTCGTCATGCTTTTTTCAGCTCTTGTTTCAAATCATCAATCCGAAAAAGGTACTGTTTTTGGCCGTTGACGGAGTTGCTCCGCGAGCAAAAATGAGCCAACAAAGAAGTCGTCGATTCGTGTACGTTTAGCAACGATACATCTGATTGAAACGGGATCTGTTTTGAAAAATTTTTAAATATTTATTGTATTAAAACAGCTTACGGTAATAACATTCATGTTCTTCCATTCATCGGCAAATTCGTTTCTCCAAGACCAATTTTCTGAATTTCAGTTTGGAAATTTAGAAAAAAATAAGAATTAGAAGACGAAATTCGTTATCAGTATACAGCAGCATTTCTGTAAAATACCTTACATAGTGTAAAAATAAAACAGCTAAATGTTTTAGACGTTGCGACTTCAAGCTTTGTATAGTGATGCGTTTCTGCTTCGTAAAATTTACCACATGGATAAATGATACTCCAGCGTTTTTCGTGAAGTCTTGTGTTTGCTTTTAGGTGCCTGTGAAAGCCGAATGTATATCTGAGACTTTTCTTGAAGTTTCATTTTTTTCTGACTATGCTATTTCACCGGAATGTCATAGGTGATCGATTTTCAGGTCTTCGAAAAACTCCGCCGATTCGATTGCCAGAGCGGAAAAAAATGGCTCAACTATTGATCGATCAAAATTGTTCGATTCCAACTGCATCACACCCGGTAATGAATGCCACGATATTTTCCGCCATTCTTCTCTTATATCTTTGTTTATTCATTACCGCAGGAACGGAATTCATGGCTAGGCTGCACGACTTTTTGACGACATTCGTCAAACACAAGGTAGAAACGGACGAAGCGTGGAAATCAATTAAAGTTTACCTCTCAGGCCATGACGTATGATTTTTTGTTTTAAATTGAGCATCAATTATGTTTGAATCTGTATAGTTCAAAACTCTCTAATTCTAAATTTAAGTACAGTAAGTGAAAACATTTCAAGAATTGATCAGTCTTCATTCGAAAAAGCTTAATCATGTGCTAATTTCTATATATTTTGTTCTGAATAATGAGTCAGTTTCGATGACCGTTTATCCTTTGAGTCGCGCAGGCAGACGCATCCTACGGTGTTTCCATCTTTTCCAATTCTGTGCCAGCGTTTGAGCTTTGTGAGAAGGTAATTCGAATCTAGAGCAGAGTTCTTCGCTGTGTTTGGCCCACGGTATTCTTGGCCATCTCTGGCGTCTTCAGTGGGTCAATTTGGCAAGTAGTAGCTGTTTCGGTTTCCATTCTGGACGTGTTCGCAAAATGTGTCCAGACTATCGCAACTGTGCCTTCCGAACCTAGAGAAGCTTTGGCTCTACATCAAGGTTCTCAGATGTCGGGATCGAAGGTTTTCAGTCATGGTCCATGATGGCAATAGCTGAGAACAAGGATGAAAATCGACTTTGAAAATGATAGCGCAGTCTTCAGATTTAGCTCTCTCTACTTTAGTCACAGCAGTTCAGGGTAATTCATGCAGAATACCATTTCAATTCGCCGGTTGATTTCATCTACAAGTAAATATGACCCAGAGGTACTAGAGCTTTTCTACCTGTTTCACTGCTTCTCAGCGTATTTGCAGAGTGCAGTGGGCAGAATAATGGTAAAGCATTAAACTTAGCGACGTTCACATCCATCACGATTACGTCGCACGCGGCTGAAAACCTTTCCAGAGAGTGCTGAAGATCTGTTTTGGAAGATACCAATGATCCTGGGTCACTTACAGACAATTTTTCAAACTTTTTTCCTCCACGTTTACCTGTACGCACCTTACCCTGGCGTTATTTTTGAAATCTTTGAATTTTTGAAGTAGAGCTTTCAGATTTTAGAGTAGACTTCTTCCAAAGACGTTTTCACACCGATTTAGCCACTTGTTTAAGGTTATAGTTTACAAACGTTATTTTAGTAAATGTTTGATTTAATTATTTAAATTATTTATTTCGCATTCAGGGAGTGCGCAGCCACTGTTGTTCTTGCATTTCAAACTATTGAGCCGCCTGTGTGGGTAAAGTTAAACCTGATGTGGTTTAGTTTTCATTGTTTAAAGTTATTTTGAAATCAGCAATGAAAAACAGGATGTGCAATTGATACCTTCTTCTGTCGTTATTAGGAAAAGCTGGGGCGCAATCACAAAACTGATACGCAAAATTAGGTCATCATGACAAAGACCTGATTGTTTTTAATGTGAACATTATACTTTGTTTGCTGGTTAATGTTTTGTTTGGTCAGCTTAGCAATTTTATGATTGTATGGGGTGGGCCAATTGATAAATAATACTGTTCTCTTGTTGGAAATAAATGCCTTCAAGCAGTAATTTATACTCAGTCCAGTCCTGACGGTGCTACGAACTATTTATCCAAACGCTTTGGCAGTAAAGATTTTACCATCTGTTCCATTTGGTGCCCTGAACCGTGAAACATGCAACTAACTACCTATGCAACAACGGGTCCAGAATCAAAAGCCTGAAATCATGCTTTTAGGTTATTTTGTCCTTACTTTTAGTACGTTTCTGTAAATTTAAGTGTTGCAAAATTCGCTGTATGAAACAATTTTAAATTTATCCTAAAATGTTTCCGGCACATGCGCACATTTGACCATCATTGAAAAATATCTATTTAAAATGTGTTGTATATTTCTTTACCGATATTTGATTCTTTTAGTGACTGTTTTATGCTACGTACTAACAGCATTGCTGATAGGGTGATCATTTTAAAATTTCAGTTTTCATTTGTTTTCTGTTAGAGAAGCACATTTAATGTTTAACTCAGAAAATAAATCTAATGTAATGCGATTCGGTGTCATGTTTAGAAGTAATGCTGGTACATTTTTTGAATTTCGCATTGTATTTGCATTCGATTGTTTTGTCGATTTCATGTTGATCAGGCTGGATATAATTCGAACCTTTGAATTTCGATTTAGCCATTTTTTGCCGTGTTAAATTTTTCTTAATGCGATAACTTTCGAGGATCAAGTGAGAGCTCAAGTGAGAGTAGTTGGTTAAGTTGTGTAACTTTGTGTAACTTCGTTTTCGAGATAGCGAGGATCCCCAGTTATTGACTACTTGTCAAATAGATAGGAATCTGAGAACCTTCATGAAACGCATGGAAATGCTTTGGGGTACGACCATGATGCGAAATATTTGAACCAGCGGCCATGATGATTATGACACCAAGAGCATAGGAACATGTGACATCGCTTTTATGGAGATATTGCGGCTGTTTATTTCTTTTCGTTCTCCATTTTCGTTACTGCAGCAACGTCGCCGTTCGGTCCTTTCCTTTGCGTTGATGTTCTTAATCACTTAACCGTAGGTAGATTTGCTTTAAAACATTGATTTGTTTCAAGTAACCATTGCTTCATTTTGACTAATTATTTGTTTATGACGGGCCTTCGGAACAGTCCTAATACCGGAAGAAAATATGTTTCGCATTACTTCGCTTACGTTTGATCTCATGCCTCGATCGTTGCCACCTTTTTACCACATCGACATGTCGTTGGATTTATGCTTAATGCGTTGTATGAACCCCCAATGAGATGCTTGAGGGGTGGGGAGGGGGAGGAAGAACACCATCAGTATGAATCCATCATCAGTAACAATTTTAAAAAAAAATAGTATTTGATACGACGTGTACAATAACTTCGCCTACCAAATATCACTTGTAAATATGCAGAAAAAGCAGAATAAAATATCCAGAGAATTTGTTTCATAAGCCTTCCGCACTGGTGTTAAGTTATGCGCTCGTGCGGCGGCAGTAAATGTTGCCAATGAACCTATTTGTATTTGGCTTGTCATTCGAGAAACAATACTGAGTGCTTTTCATCATGCCATTTATCCTCTGAGGAACTATATACGGACCTGATCAAAAGAAAATTCGCTTGATTGATGTAAGGAGAATGTCATCGTTTACTCCAGATTTATGGCCAAGCGAAAATGCAAAGGTTGTACGTCGTGTCGACGGTTTGAAAAAAGCAGATATATTCGTTGTACTGTACGGCCCTGAACTCAGACTGTTGTCGCTGACGTCTGTAGTCTTTAAGCTAAAGAATTTTTAGTGTTTCGGCGAAGGTGAACATAAAATAATGGACTTCATCCGTTATGCGAAAAGCAGGCCGGGATATGACCCAAACACTCGCCATTGTATGTATGGCTTGGATGCAGATCTGGTAATTTTTGGCGAACAATCGACTTTCATCGTTACCTTGTTTGTACTATTGTTGCCTTGCAGATCATTTTAGGTACCTGTTCGCATGAGCCGCACTTTACGCTTCTCAGGGAGGAAATATCCTTTACAAGACGCAGGAAAAACCAGAAGAAAAAGTAGGCGATTTTTAATTCACAAGTGAGATAATTTCCGGCGTTCCATCTGACGTCACTCTTTTACAGAAGATTCGATCCGAATGATAACAAGTTCTTGCTATTACACGTCTCACTTCTACGGGAATACATCGACATGGAGTTTGCCTGTTTGAAGGTATTGTTTGCTTCCGTGCAAAGTAATTCTCCATCGTTTGAGTCCTGAACATATTCGAAATATGTTTTTAATGTAATATGAATGTGACATTGTATTGTATATGAATATATATGATGAATATTGAATATGATTAATTCAACAAGTTATTCGTAAACCGAAGTAGTCAGATCACATAAGACTCTTCCAAGGCCAGATTTCGTGGTATATTGCACCGTCCCCTTGCTTAGGCCTTAAAGTATGTCATTTAACATACTTAGTGTACCAACAACTTAGGTTGTTTATGCAGCGGTTTGGAACCAGTGCCAGAAACATCTTTTGTGATGAGCGCCAGGCGATTCTTACCGGACAAAATGACGTACGGTACATGACAGTGAGTGACACTGCAGGTGCTGAAATATCGTGGAGTCGTTGATTGCTTAAATGGCCCTCAGGCAACTAGGAGCAAGGGCGCGGTGTTATACGCCGTCAAACTGGTCGTGCAGGAGTCAGGATTTTAGCCACAGGCGTATCTATTCCATGTTTTTCCAAAATGCTATGGTTTGCACATGATCTGACAGTAAAAATCTTATATAATCAGTTGTATGTTCGAAAGGACGGTCTTTTATTGGCCAGTGAAGATCGAAAGAACTAGACATATGAATTCGAATCAGGTTGTTCAGTAGGCAGAGTGCCGGTCTTAGAACCGAAAGCTCCCAGGTTCTAGTCCCGGCCAAATTACTCACCTTCTCACCTTTTTTCCTTCCGAGGTCGATAAGCTATACTACTCTGTGGGAAGGAAACAGGAGACTACAGGCGATGCTTGCCACGTAGATGTAGATGCTGTCTTTTAAAGATAAACCATTCATAGTTGATATCGTAGAAACGGTATTGAACGCTGCACCATGAGCTTCAAGCAATAAAGGGTGCAGCAAAAAGCATTCAGTCATGAAAGTTAGAACGATTTGCCAATAGTTGCACATGTTTTTTTGGGCTTCGGAATAATTTGGTAATATTACGTCACCTTATCTAAGGGCCTTTTCGATTTTGAACTAAATTATAGTGCAAAGGCATGGCTGTGATTAATTCTTCATTATAGAACCTAGTGCAGAACGTATGCAGAATTTAATGATAGTTGACTTGTAAATGCAATTTGTCATTACTTTAATTACCAAATGTTTGTTTTAGATTTTTAGGAATTGCAATGAATAAATATTAGGCTAATTAAGATTCGAAGTTTATTTTATCAACACCTGTTTGGTATTCATTACACTGAATATAAAATAACTCCAAAAAGAACATTTTGTTGTTGAGAACGTGATATCTATGATATTTTGAATATGGCTACCATATCTACCTGTAATAAATATATTGTTTAATGACATGCTGCATAATTTGAATCTATATATGGTGAAAACCTGTTATTACGTCTACAAATGCCACAACTTAAATGTTAAGTAGTGGTACCTCTACTTTATACGATGTATCACAGATCTGCTTTTCACTTTCCTTTGTTGTAGGATGCCCTTGGCTCGATTTACGATCTGGAATCAATGATTGATGACTGGGTGCTAATGACTTTTCTGGTAGGAAACGATTTCATTCCACATTTGCCGCAGCTGCATATTCGTAGCGAGGCGTTACCTAGCATCTTCAAGGCCTACAAATCCAGCTTCCTTCAGATGAAAGGTAACTTATTTAGAAGCAGCGGCAGCATAATATTTATATATTAGATATATTCGCATACAACATGTCTGATTAATAATGTATGCGTATAACAGTGTAGAAATATCTGTAACATCAAATTATTGTTCGTACAGCAGTTTTTATTAATTGAAGGCTGAGGACCAAACGTTTACAGTGGACAGCTGCTGGAAATCACGAAAGAGTGGGGATCCAAATTCTTTACTTTATTCGTCGATTTCACCAAAGAGTTTGATTCGATCTTGAGAGATGCCTTGTGGAAAGTCGATAGACAATAGGGAATGCTGCATAAAATTATTAGCATTGTTAAATTAATGTATGATCGTCATGTGCGTTGGGAATTAAGAACGGTTCAGGAAATTTTTTTGTAAAAAATTTGAAGTAATGCAAGCTAGGATGGAATCTCCTGCTGTTTGCGATGTTTTCGATTAGGTACTCAGGCCAGTACGAAGGAGTGAAGATTTGACTGCGGAAGAAGTTAGCCACATCCGTGTAAACTCTCTTCGTTGTGCGGTTAATGTCCTGTTGCTAGTAGATAACTTCAAAGCTGCCACATCGTTATTCTTGACTCTGAAACAGAGGCGTTTTGGTCTGGGTCTCTCGATTCACCTAAAGAAGACCAAGTGAATTCGTAGAACCTAGAGAAAAGACTGTCTGATCATTAGCACCAAAGTTAAACATTTATCAGAACATCTATTTCTTTGGAGTACATTGAATGATGACAGAAGAATGACAAACGAAATTAAGTGGCGTTGTAAGTTGTTATTGGTTATTCGAGCTTTGAAATAACAAAGATATTGGCGATGCTACCGAGCTGCAAACACAGGGTATTCTGGGCATTTTGCTGTATGGTTCAGAGACAGTAACATAAAACTGGAAGCGACAAAAATGAGAATTTTAAGATCAGTGTTAGGAGTGAAGTGATACGACCTGATGTTAAATGCTGCAAACGAGACTTTTGAAATGGTGGGGCCGTTGCCAACAAATGGAATATAGCCGCTTCGCGAAGCGTATACCGAACTCAAAAGTTGATAACAATCAGCCATTAGGAACAAGCTGAGAAGATCTCGTTGGAATGATATCGAAAGGGTTGAAAAGTGGACACATGTTC